CGTACTATTTCTCTGTCCGTACTGTCTGTTTGGCCACAATAGAGGGAGAGGCAACGGAGGGATGGCTCTTCTTATTCTTCTTTTTCTCTCTCTTTTTCTCCGTATCATCATCATCTGTTCCACACCGCGACCCGCTTTTCCGCTAACATTATGAAACTACTTTACCCGGGTTTTTCTGGCTGGACAGTTTAATTTTGCGATTTTTTATTAAAAAGAGTATCTTGATTTTTCCGATTTTTGCCTGAAAAATGTTACAAACTTATCAATTGATTTTGAGCCTAAAATTCGGAATTTGTGATTTTCAACCATTCTTTCTGACTGAAATTCCAAATTTTTGACCATGCCGGATTCCATGTTCAGGAATCTTGAAAAATGCGGAATTTGCATTTTTACCAATAAATAGCTCGAAAATTTTCAGAATTGAAATACTTTCGAATTTCGATGTTTCCTGCTTTTTTTTTAATTCTGGACAAACAGAACTACATTATAATTAAAATTTTTCACTTTTTTTGATGTTAAATTAAATAAAAACACCCGATTCACAAAGTGTAAAATACCTTAAAACCTGCAATCCAAGGGTCCCACACTTTCAAGTTTAACCTCAATTATCCCGATTCCTGTGCAATATATCAAAAAATAACCAACTGATGAATTGTTTATCATATTATCAGAAATGTTTTGTCAGATGACAAAATTTTGGTATCTTTTACAAGAATCGAGATAAATAAGCTAAAAAGGACCCTTCTATCGCAGATTTTACCTTTCGTTATCTTCTTCCGTTTTTCCCAGTACACCTTTTCAACTTTTTCTCAAATTTTCCCACAAATCTTTCGATTTATAGGTTAACTACTTGCACTAAATAACCTGATAACGATCTCCGTTCCTCATCAATTCAGAATCCTCTCTTTCTCTAAATCTCTTCTATGTCTTCATGCCTAAATGACAACATTATTACTAATTCCTTTGAAACCAAAAGGTGTCTCCCTCCACCAATTATATTATTATACTAATCAGAAATGTAGAAACGAGCCCCAAGAATGAGCACACACAAATCGAGAGTGGAGAGAGAGAGACACTGTCTCTTCCTCTCTCTATACCTGCGTATCTTCAATTAGTACACTATTTATTCATTTTTCGACAAAGGCAGCTTCCACATTTGTTTACTCAAAACCTCGGGTCAGGTCATCTTACCTTTGCTTCTTCTTCTTTTGGTATATTCGGCTTCTTTTTCTTCTTCTTCTTCTCCTTATTTCCCTAGTAATTTATGCCAAAAGTAGCCAAATATTCTTTTCCTCCCGCCGTCACTTTTCCAATTTTCATATGTAGATTTTGGGGGAATGAAGGAAAATTTGCAATTTTTCTTCTTCTTTTTACTCGAAGAAGAAATGTTTGCGTTCCATTTTTGTGGGCAAAGAAGAAGAAGCGCCAGAATTGAATTTTTGGGAAAAAGAAGGGATTGGGTTTCAAATTTTATTTTGCTTCATTCGGAGCACCGAACAGATTTTTTATATATTCCAAAACCATTTACAAAGCTAGCACTCTTCAATTCCATCTCTCAAATTTAAACACATTTTGACATTTCAAGGTTGCCTATTCTCCCCCTTTTTCGAATCCAACACATTCCTCCTCCTTTTTTCCGTACATGGATATATATTCGTATATTTGTTTCTTGTTGTATAGGGATTCATGCGTCATAACAGTCCTTTTCTTCTCCTTCTTTTGTACTGTACTGGAGATTATGCAAGAATCATACAAAACGAAATATAATGATCGGATGGATTTACGCAGCATTCATAGCTGGATATCTGTCGGATAGTTTATGTAATAAAATGTAGAATAGAATGTGGTTTTTTGAATGGTTTATAGTTTTAAAGGATGCAAATTTCAAAAAAAATGTTTGGAATTTTGAACGTTTTTTTTTTCAAAAAATCTAAATTTTTGAAAAATTTTAAATACTTTTAAAAAAAAGATTCCGGAACTACCGCACATTCAAGACAACATTTTCCAGACTTCCATGTTAAAATTGAACATTAATTTACCGAATTTCCAACATTTTAAATGAAGAGGGACTTTTTCCATTTTTCAAAAATTCTTTCCAAAAAATCTCAAAAATTCGAAAATCTCTCAATTACTGAAATTTTGAAAATTTCTAGGAAAATCTCGAAAAAGTTGAAATTCTCGAAAGTCTAGAAATTTTTAAAGTTTCCTAAAAATTCAGATAATTCTAAAAAAAGTTTGAAATTTCAAAATTTTGAATCTCAAGAATTTTCAATTTCTAGAAAATCTTAAAAATTCTGAAAATTCCAATAGTTCTTAATAATTTAAAAATTTATGAAAATCCTTTAAAATATTTGAAAATTTCTGAAAATCTCAAAATTTGGAGAATTTCTTTGAAATCTCCAAAATTTCGGAAATTTCTAAAAACCTGAAAATCTGAAATGAAAATTCCTTCCAAAATTTTTTTGAAAATTTCTTAAAAATCTAAAAAATGTAAAATATCTGAAAACAAAAACGTTTAAATATGTTGAAAAATCTCAAAATTTTTGAAAACTTCAAAGAAAAACGCAAAAATTGTAATCCGGAAACCTTGAAATCATTATAAAAAACTCAATATTTGAAAATTTTTTAAAGGTCTAATCAAGAGTTTTCTTTAAAATGTTTTATTCGGAAACTTTTTTAAAAATTCCATCTTCAAATCCTACTTCTTTTAGCCAAATTCCAAAAACCAAAAAATTCCGAAAACGTCAAAAAAACTCATTCTATCCATTTCTCCTCTCACTCCTGTCATTCAAAATATCTGCACCCTATTTTTCCATATTTCAAATCCCCATTTTTCGTACTCTTCTCCCCGTATTCTCTTTTTTTCCAGAGCTAAAAGGAAGAATTAGTTTCTCACTCTCTCATTTCGGTTTGTCTGGATACAACAGTGCTTAATTGAAACATTCATTGCTCATCTTCTTCTTTTTCTCGCCTCTTCTTCTTCCTCCATTCTTCCCAATTTTCCACTTGTACGAAAAAGAAACGACTGCTGCTCCCCCCTTTCTCGCTTTTCCTATTCTTCTGAATGCCGTTATTCTGAATCTCCGTTTTCCGTCCAAAAATGTGTGTTCACACCCTTTTTGATGAATTGTGAAAACGAATCGAGTAGCCAAAAAGAGCATTTCGCTCTCTGCACCACAATTTTTCTCTCTTGGGAGATCGCATATCAAATATTCTCTTTTTTCCAGGACCTTTTTGATGAAAAGCGTCTAATTTGAAGTGGGGGATGTTGGTCCCATATTTTTTTTTGAATGAATGAGGAGTTTTTGACTTTTTTTGGATGAAACTTTTAGATGAATGAGCTGGAAAAGAGCTGGCCTAAAAGTAGGATTACTGTATTAAAAATGAATTTCATTTTTCTGGAATATTCTGAGCTCAGTTATCTCGGTCCCTTCAAAAGATATCAAAAATCTGTCAAGTATAAAAATGAAACTTGACAGAGCCCTTCTTTTACAGGTTCTAGTTGTTTTCAATTTTTTTACAATTTCCTAACACTTCAATTCAACCTTGACATTAATACGTTCATTTTTTATGGAATACTGTAGTTTCACAGTTTTATGCCGGTAATTTATGCAAAAAATTGTTTCTTTTTGGTTCTCCAGTCTTTCCCATTGTTTATTTCAGCTATCGTGACGTATAGGAACATTGAAGTTTTTTCTACGGAATCGATGTGATAAAAATTGCAAAGAATATTCCTAATGTTCTCGATTTACGTTTTTTAGACTTCTGAACTTGAGGTCCCAAAAACGACATGAGGAATTTCTTTTTTTTTGTTCAAATACCGTAAAACCTGTAATAGAAGCCCAATCGTCAACTTTGAGCCTAATTATCTCAATTCTAATAAATGTTAACCAAAAAAAGTTAACTGTTAAAATATTTCTCATATTGTCAGCTACATCTTATTATGAAACAACTTTTTGATATCTTTTGAATGAACCGAGATCTTAAGCTCAAAGTGGACGTATAGCTTGGAAAGGAGATTCCTACCCTATACGTGCAATTTGAGCGAGCCCATTTATCTCAGTTCCAGTCAAAGATATAAAAAATTTCTCAATTAATAGAATATTTTTCATTTCATCAGCTACATTTTATCAGTTGACACTTTTTGATACCTCAAATAGAAACCAAGAAAAATTAGCTCAAACTTGATAATGTGGCGGCCCTTCTACTAAATCCTTTGCCGTTTATGACACTCTGCTCTCAACGTCTTTCCAATGAGTGAGTCTAAAAAGAGACTCATCGAAGCCCTTCCTGCTTCAACGTGTCTTCCTGATATGTATATCATTTCATTTTCTCTCTCGTTGTCTAATCCTCTCCTCCTATACTATCTCTGATTTCTCTCTCCTCTGATGCCCATCAATTTAATGCGTTCGCCCCCCTTTCCGCCGCCCTGTGTCATCGTTACATTTTTTCTCATATCATATCAAGGTTAGACCCCTGCATTCTCTACCAATTTTATTTCAATTCGAAGGGTCAAAGAAGTTTGTTCCTTTTCCAAAATAAAAGTACAAACTTTATGGTCCACCAACTTTTCTTATGAATTCTTGAGTCTATTGCACTTTTCCCCAGCTGGCTCATGGTGTCAGCCTAGGCGACACCTGCGTCTCCGTTCCATTTCTTTTCTTATTTTACCCGCCAATTGATGAGTCATCTTCAGAATGATACAATTCACACTCCCCCACATTTATATTATCATTTATTTTGATTGAATCAAAACCTGTAAGGTGTAACAGAAAGTATAAGATCCGGCTTTCTCTTCATTCTTATACCATCAGCTTGCTCTGTCCAAAACTTTCTTTGAAAAAAAAAAAGCTAAAATCCGTTCTATGCTTCCTTATGAAAGATTTGATTGCTCATCGTTACATTCTAGAAGCTTCGTTTTCTACTTTCTTATCAATTAATCTTTCAGCTATTAACCCTCTCAAACTCCCTACATGAGCTGAAATTCCAAAAATCGAAGGATGCGGGAAAAATGTCTAATTGGATGGGCCCTACTAGTTTCTCTCAGCTGTGTCGTCAAATCGTTCAATCTCGATGTGAATGCGCCGATTTACAGGTTTGGTCCCAAAGGGACCAATTTCGGATACTCGGTTGCCGAGCATTTTAAAGGAGAGAAGCCTGTGTAAGTCTTTGTTTCCTATTCTAGAACACGAACTCTAAAATCATGATCCTTAACCCTTGTTCATTTTCAGAATGCTAATCGGTGCGCCACGTGGCGAGTCTGGACAAACGGGAACCGAACGAGCGGGTGCAATGTACTCGTGCGATATCAACACATTTTATAATACTGGATCACAGCATTGGTGGGTCTCTCTCGGAATGATTGATTAAGAAACATGATATTTGCAGGTGTGAACAGGTGCGTTTCGAATACGACAACTCTGAGGACTACGCGAAACGACCGAACGAGACACGAGGAAGGACGGTGCATCCATTGGGAAAGAATGATCAATTGTTGGCATCGACGATTGTTTCAAAGGGAACCAAGAATGGAAGTGCTCTGGTGAGAATTTTGGGATTTTGAAAATTGGTGGTTTAGAAGAGCTATAAGATTTAAAATCTGAAGTTTGAAAGTTTCCAGTCGGTTATTTTCGTATTTAATTTTTTTTCTGATCCTCAGATTTTTCGGCTTTTTGAAATTTCTAAAATTTTTAGAAATTCTAAAAAATCCAAAAATCCAAAACATTTCATATAAAAATTCGATATTTTCGAAAATTCAAAAGAAAATAAGAAAATTCAGAAATTAAGAAAATTTGAAAAAAAATATTCAGAAAAATGGGATGAAATGATTGAATTTTTAATTTAATTGGAGTTGAAAAGATAGCATAGAAAATTTTAGAAAAAATGAAAATTTCTGAATTCTCTAATATTTTCTTTCTGGAAAACCGGAATAATGATTTTGATTTTTTGAAATCATCCGTTTTTTGTATCTGTAGGATTTTTGGAATTCCCAACATTCCTGAAATTTTTAAAAGGCTAAAAATTCCAATTGATTAGAGCGAAAATTCGAATTCTCGAAACATCCAGGAGTCTTACAACATCTTAAGTTCCGATTTAGGTTATTCAGTTTAAAGTATCTATGAGATCTAGAATTCAGGTTAACCTTGAAACTAAACAAAACTTATCTCCTATCTTCCAATTTTCAGGTATGTGCTCCTTTGATTCGCTACCATCAAACCGCCGCCTACCCTCAAGGCGCTTGCTACGAACTCGAATCCAATCTTCGTCTCCAATCTACTTACTCAACATGTGCTCAAAAGAATCTTCCGACAACGGACAGACACAACGAGTATGGAGGCTGTATGGAAGGGTTCTCGGCGGCTATCACTCAGGTAATTTTTTGTAAAATGATAAATCTGAAATCTTGTTTTTAGGATACCGTTGTGACTGGTCTGATTGGAAGTGTAAAGTGGACGGGTGGTGTTTTCGCCAAGAAATCGTCAGCTAGCATTTTCGATTCCGTCGTTGAAAAGTACACGATGAATCAGCCAGCAGAGGATAGCATTCGAACGCGACTCGTTGCTCATGACTATCTGGGATATTCAGTAGACATCGGAAGATTCGGATTCTGGTATGAAGATGGGAAACCGATTACTGTAGTTTCCGGAGCAACGAGATATGGCGAACATGGAGCTGTGATATTCCTTCCGTTTATTCAGGATTCCAGTTCAAAACTGACTCTAAATGAAGACAAGTTTATCATCAATGGAACTGCAATGGGATCAGCATTTGGATATTCAATTGAGGTTGTTGATTTGAACGGAGATGGGTTTGATGACCTAATTGTTGGTGCTCCATTTGAACATCGGACTGGAATCGATGGAAATTTCGGAGGAATCGTCTACGTTTATTTCTCTCAAGGAGTCCAAAGACAGAAACACGAATCTCACCTGGTCTTCCATCCCCCAAAAGTGATCAAAAATCCAGATTTCTATTCACAATTTGGGTTATCAATTACAAAGTTAGGAAATGTGGATGGAGACAAAAATGGGCTCAATGATTTTGCCGTTGGTGCGCCATTTGCATTCGATGGAACCGGAGCGGTCTATATCTATCTTGGAACCAAAAGTATTGACAAATTCCGCAAGAAGCCTGCTCAAGTGATAAAGGGAAATGAGTTGCCAAATCTTCCAGAAGGAATGAGATCCTTTGGATTCTCTCTATCCGGTGGATCTGATATGGATGAGAATGGTTATCCAGATCTTCTCGTTGGATCTCCTTCTAAAAACTTTGTGGCTCTTCTTCGAGCTCGTCCAGTTATTAGCATAGATGCCAAGCACAAAATGCAGACCCGAATGATTGATATAGATAAGGGTGTCAATTGTCCACGTGGCTCCAAAACCTGTTTCCCTCTGGAAATGGTGATCTATGTAGATGAGGAGACAACGCGTGGTGCTGAACTCGTCGACTTCTCCTCTGACGTCTTCATGTGTAATCTTGAGGCGATTCCGTATCGAGCTGATACCACTGCTCGTGGATTTATCGAAGGAAGTCATTCACACAACTACACTTGGCCATGTGGAAGTAACAGTCATGTACAGAAGAGAACGTATCGTCAGAATATTTATTTGCCAATTCAAGAAGCAAAAGACTGGATTACTCCGCTCAAGTTCCGATTCACAGTTAGCATTCGGTAAGTGATAGGAGAAATGTAGACTGGCAAAGGCTCTATTAGAAGATCATGTTCTTCAATTGTTCCAAAATCTCTCCGGGGATGTTCAGAATTGCCTTTTCGGAATTTTTCGGAATTTTTACTTTTTGTAATTCAAAAATACTTTTCGTAGTTTAAAAACTTCTAATTTCGAAAAAAAAACTTCGGGGTTCAGTATCCAAGGGCACATCGAGCAAGGGTACATCGATGATCAGAAGGATCCCTGCACTAACAACTAAAATGTCCAAATAATTCTCCTCCCTTACATCATCATCTTTTCCTTGCAGAAACGAAAAGAAGCCGATCCAACCCCCACAAGGAAGCCAAGTTGTCGATTTGAAGCACTTCCCGGTGCTCAATAAGTACGGAGCCTCTTACGAATTCGATGTTCCATTCAACACACTTTGCGGAGAGGATCACACGTGTCAGACGGATTTGTCATTGAAGGCAACCTTCAAGGATATTCCATTGTAAGAGATTTTAAGATTTTTCAAATTTTCAATATTTATTTGTTTTTGCAGAACCGCCAATGGATATGTGTCAAATGTCGGAGAAAAGGATTATCTTGATGTGACATTCACTGTTGAGAACAAAAAAGAAAAGGCTTATCAAGCGAATTTCTATTTGGAATATAACGAGGAGGAGCTGGAATTGCCTCAAGTGAACGGAGCAAAACGGATGATTGCCGAGACAATTGGAAAGAATATTGTGCATTTGCCACTTGGTAATCCGATGAATGGAGGATCCAAACATCATTTCACAATTCAATTCAAATTGACACGTGGAAGGACAGAAGGCATCGGGAAGGCTCTGAAATTTGTGGCTCATGTGAACTCAACGTCACAGGAGACTGAAGAGGAGTTGAAAGATAATAAGTGGGAAGCAGAGGTTCAGATTATTAAGAAAGCAGAGTTGGAAATTTATGGAATCAGTACGCCGGATAGAGTGTTCTTCGGAGGAAAAGCTAAAGCGGAATCTGAACTTGAATTGGAAGAAGATATCGGAACAATGGTTAGACACAACTACACAATCACTAATCATGGACCATGGACTGTTAGAAATGTGGTTGCGAAGTTCGATTGGCCATATCAGGTTCATTCAAGATTTGGAAGAGGAAAATGGGCACTGTATCTTCTGGATGTACCAACCATCACCACTGAATTCACAGATGGAACCAGAGAAGTGAGGAAATGCTCCATCGAGCAGAAATATGAATATGTGAATCCGGCGGATATCAAACTGAATACAAAATACAGTACACAAGAAACAACTCCCCACAGAATTGAGCATAGATACAAACGATCACTTGATGAAGAGGATGTGAAGTATCAAGAGGAATCTGGAGAACTCAGAACGTCTGAAGAAGAGGAAGAACGTGGATTCAGGCATACCCTTGCGAAAATGTTCAATTTCAATTTCTTTGCTAGCGCCGATGGTGGAATCAAGAGAGAAGTTCATAACTTGGTAAGTATTCCAATGAACCAGAGAATTTCCTAACTGACTTTTTTCAGAGTTGCCAAGAAAAAACGGCTAACTGTTTCACCGTTGTCTGCCACTTCGATTTCCTCGATGCTAACTCTGCTATCGTCGTCGATTTCCGTGCTCGATTATGGAATTCCACTTTTGTAGAAGATTTTTCTGGTGTGGAAAGTGTAAAGGTCAAGTCATTCGGACGATTGGAATTAGATACTTCACAAGGGATCGATGACAATCCGGATAATAATCAAGCATCAGTAACGACGTCAGCAGATCCAGATCGGCCTACAATTGGTGAGTTTTTGAAGTTTCGAGGTTTTTCGTCAGGTTTTTAGATAAGACTTCGAAAACGTCTTTCTGCTAAACTTTTAGAAAAGATTATAGCCCCAAAAAAGGTTACTGTAATGAATATGGCCATGAAACTTGTCTTTCACAAGATTCAAATTATCGGCTCTATTTTCTGATTGTGGCGGATTCCCAAAATTGTGGAACCTAGTCTTCTAGAATTTTTTTTTCAAAATTTTATGTCAAAATTTCCAGGTGACTCCCGACCCATCCCGTGGTGGATCATTGTTGTAGCTGCTATCATCGGATTCCTTATCGTATTTCTTATCAGTTTTTGCCTATATAAATGTGGTTTCTTCAAACGGAAACGCATGGATCAACCATCATTGTACACTGCTCAGTTACGACATGAACGCGAGCAATGGGCAGATACAGGGCTATAGGTGCTCTTCTTTTTTCTTCTCTTTTCCCTCTCTATGTCTTTTTTCGGATCTCTGTGATTCTCAAAATTCACTTTGTTTTTTTCCTCTTTTGTTATATGTGATACATTTTTCCCGTTCTTCGTTTTAGGACCAATTTTTTCGTAACTTATATTTATTGAAATTATTTCATGACTCCCCTTCTCTTGTAGCCAAGGTATCCCTTGGCAAAAATCACAACCGGTGCCATTTTTTAAACATTTTTCGCCATTTTCCAGAAAAATGACTGCATGTGTAAATTAAATTATTTAATAAATAAATTATTGTTGCTTGGACAGAGAGTACAATTTAAAACCATCAATTATCATCATTAGTCGATTGCCTTTTTAGAAGCATCCATGAGCTGCGTTTTCGTGGAGCTGCAGCTGTTAATTAGTCAAAAGTTAGTATAATTAGACTAATTAGAGGGAACTCACCAACTAGCATTTTTGCCTGATTTTTGTGTGTGATTTGGATGATGCATGGTGGTTGCATCCAGGGTTCCCCGTCGATTTGCATTGGAAATGATTTGTGAGTTCTGGAATTTGAAAAATCAATTCTTGAACATTTTTTGTTTTTCGAAAACGACTAATTTCGAAAAGTTCTTCATTTCGTGATCATTTCTTATGATGGCCTAGTAAATTCAACTTGCAAAAGTGAGACAACGGAATGGCCAGAAAACCTGCCAAGTGACTATCAAGCCATTTCTAGGCCATGTAACATGGTAGCTCAGAAACTCAACTAGCGAAAGCTAGGCTACCATGTTCAATCGCCTAGGAAATCTACCAGGTCAATATCAAACCATTTCTAGTCCGTTCGGCATGGTGGCCTAGCATATTCAATTAGCGAAAGTGATGCCACCATGTTAAATGAGCTGAAAAACACATAGTATCATCTACTACGGTGGCCTAGAAAGACATGTTGAGAATATTAGACCATTCTATTCCTCACAGGTAACCGGAGTGTGTGATTTTCAACATCGATTAAAAACATTTGAAATCCCATTTTATAATTTTTCGAAAAGTGGTTCGAACGTATTGAAAATCACACTCTGAGCTTAAAGACTGATAATAGAAATTACTCACTGAATAACAACTGTGGAGCATTGAGAAAGACGCCTTGCTCCACGAACACCCGCTTTGATCTGTCCCATTTGCATCGCTGATTCCAGTCCGACTAACTGAAAATCGAAAATCTTAATAAGTTAAAAATTTTCCGTTAATTGCCCTAACCTCAATCAGTCCATCTCCAATATCCTGAACCCTAGTCTGCAGTTGCATTTTCTCCGCATTTTTCATCGGGAATAGTCCTGGCATTCGTCCTTTGGATTTCCTACTTCTTCCCCATAAATTCGATCCACCGTAAATTGATGGAATGTTTAGAAGAGCGATACCTTCGAGAGATGCGTCTTGTCCAAGATCGATAGACTCCCCGTCGCACTGAAATTTGGAAAAATAGGGATAATTTTAAAAATTGAACCCACCAAAATATCAATCTGCTCATGAAGGTTTTTGCAGGAACTCGAGAGAGTTTCACTGGTTCCCAACTCAAAATACCACAGCTTATTACGCATTCGACTGTTGAACTTCTCGGGAAATTTCTCACGCATCACATGGAATCTGTGAGCAATCGAGGCGTCCTGAAAAGCTAATTATCTTAAGTTTCTAGAAGCTTTGACTAACCACTCCAATGGAAAAATAGTTATTGATAATACTATAAGGCGGCGAATCTCCTTTCTCACTAGCTCTTCGAGCACTTTTATTTTCCGTAATCTCGATTTTAATCTGCCATCGATCCATATCAATGAGACTTGACTTTTCAATTTGCTCCAGAATCTTATGCAAATTCTCATTTTCATAACCTCCTCCCCATCTCAAACATCTTGCCAAATCATTTCCAGTTCCCAATGGCAGTACTGCAACCGGTGGACGTCCATGTGGAAATGTCATCTTATCCATCGATTCGAGTACCCATCCAATTGTTCCATCACCTCCACAAACCAGAATATTACAGTTTTTGAGTGTTGAAAATAGTTGAAGTCCCGGCTCGGGACCAGTTTTACTCAAATCATAAACCTGACGGGGATTGAGAAGATACTCGAACTTTTGAAGAATTTTCACACCCTGTTTACCACCGGATTTCGGATTCACAAGGACAAGAAGAGGTCTACAATCGTTGCTTGGAGAGATCGCTTGAAGAAGACTGGCACTATGAGATCCAAAATTGTGATTTTTGAGAGAAGTCGACGTTTTTCTTTCGAGGAACGCAGGGAAAATATGAGTTGGTGGTAGAATATGGTGGACCAGAGCTCCAAGATCACATTCTTGAGCTAGAGCTGACATACATCGATGGTGGACCTGAAATTTATAGTTTTTCTATTTTTCTATATTTTTTGGTCTCAGAAAATGTGTGTTTGGCTCAAAATATTTGCCTAATAGTACATAGTTTCCTGTTGCAGTTCCAAAACAAAGCTAATTCATAAAACTTTGCACTTTTTGAATACTTTTGTAAACAAGATGCAAAATAAACTTCAGTGCTAATTGGGTGGATGACCTTTAAATAAATAATGAGCAGAGTTTGAAACTTGCAACTCTTTTGAATATTTCAGTTTGATTGATTAGAGTGTAAAATTATACTTTTTATAGTTTGATTTAGAAATATCATTGTTAATTGTTGGCAAAAATTAGGCTGTGTGTGTTTTTCGGTTTTTTCAACATTTTCGAACGAACTTTCAAAATTTTACATCATGGTAGATAGAGTAGAAATTGATTCATATCCACCTGATAGTTTTCCAGGCCATTAACATGGTGGCCTAACTTTTTCCAGTTGGATTTTCTAGGCCACCCAGGTGAATTGCCTGGATATGGCCTCTTATTCACCTAGTATATTATCAAGTCCATAAATTATGGTGGCAGGGGAAATTCGTGTGAAAAAATTAGGCCACCATGGGAAATACCCTAGAGAGCAAACAATTGAAATGAGCCGTTTTAGAAAAACTCACATAATTATGACACCAACGACACCCTTTCCCTTGGAAAACTCCAACAGTTGCTTTGCATTTCACACACTTTGCCGCAGCGTTTGCATCCTGCCAGTGATGATACAGCTTGTCTAAAAATATAACTTCTAATATTTTTTAAAAAAATTCCCTCACCCTGCTGTCTACTGGAATAAGTTCGAATGCAATTGGTTGCTGCCGAACGAACACATCTTTCATGGACCGTGTATTTGCATACTGTAATAGAGAATGAAGTTTTGAAAAACCAAGTAAGAAAATCTTACATGAACAACTGAGTCCTTGTTTTCCACCCCATCCAACCAAAATACTACAGCAAGCATTGCAATAGGTTGGTTTAGTGAAATGGCGGAGACGCCAGACATGAGATCCGTCTTCTTTCATTTCCTGTAAGCTCAAATAGGTAAAATACAACTTCTGCACCTCCAAAAAGAACAAACCGTATCAAAACCAAGTAAAACTAAAAGTGGAATATTGGTGAGTCCTCCTCGTCTCCATTCGTCAAACGACACGATTCCATCGTTATCATAATCAATATCAACCATCATTTGGCGAATAATCTGCTCCAATTCAATAGTGTCCCATTGTTGATACCTTGCCACATTCATCATTTGTTCAATGATTCCGTCGATTTCCGATTTGTCAAGGAACCCATTTCCATCCGAATCGTAAACATGGAAGACCACTGAAAACAGGAATTATTTTAATATTAGTTGATTAACCCTGTAATGAATTACCATCCAATTTGTTCTCCGGGGTGTCGGCTTCCAAAAGTGATAGCGTACAGATTAATGGCTTCAATGGGATTCTCGGCTCTTGTGGATCCGTACTGGGAGCTCGTGGGCCCATCACATCTGAATCAAACCATCCAATTATTTGTTACACTACAGTAACCCCTACCATCTTCCGGAATACAAACCAGCGCTTGTGGTTCACTTCCTTGACTCCTGTCGGTTTGCTGTCCAGATCCTCCTGCAATATTCAGGCCGCCCATTCGACCAGTTATCGATTCTGTGAATTTGGCTCTAACTGTGGAGATGGCATCCTCGAAAAGACTAGTTCTTCGTTCTTTTATTGGTGGTTTGGAGAATGAGAGAAATAATTGATCTACAAGATCACTAGGAAGATCCGCACCGAAATAGTCAATGAGGAAGGCACGGAATCCATCAATGTTGATTGTCTGAAAATGGTTCGGAATTTTTTGAAAAGTGTTTTTGACAGTTGTGCTTTGTGTGTTGATGTAAGAGGGAAATCATCAATTCAATTCAACATGTTTTCTGTGCTTTCAATTTTGTTTTTACAAATACAGCATTTTCTGGGCAGGGCCGTATTTTTTAGTTTTCATCAGAATACGCGTTGAGGCCGAAAAATCGAGGGTGGGCGGCTCGTGGGTGAATCCATCGAAAAAACGAAAAAAGTCCAGAAAAATTACTATAGTAAGAATACATGCTCCTTCAAGGAATTCGCTACCGAACGTAAGCCCCGCTCACCCTCGAATTTTTGCACAGTGATTTTTGTGGAACGTTTTTCAAAACAAATTTTCTTGCTCTTTTTTTTAATACAGAGGTTTTCCAAATTTTTTTTTATACAGAGGTTTTCCAGAAATTTCCAGCTATCATTCAAAGAATGTACAGATCAGACCCAAATCAAAACCACAAAACTACATTTCTATAAATGCACAAAATATTATTTTGGAACACCAGATTCTGATTTCCCTCTCTCTGATTATTGTACTTCCATTCTCTTTTAAATCAAATCTCCACTACATTTTCTGCTGCTTGGAAACCACTGAGCACGATCTTCAAGATCTCAACCCACCCCCTCCCTTCCCTTAACCAACCGGAACGTGTCACCTGATATAAACACGAGAGATTACTAATGAGAAGAAATGTATATAGATTGCAGAAGACGTGCCCTATACCAGTTCTTCTCCTCTATTTTCCCCTTTCCCTATCGCATGTCACCTCTTCATTTTTCACAGAGCTCCTCTCGGAGCACACCACGACCATCAACAAAAATAAAAACAGAAAACGGGAAATCGATTTCCGCTTATTTCACTTTTGATACATATATAGAACTTAGAATCGGGCTTTGACGGGGTCGGGAATACTATCATAAGGGCAAAAAATAGAGGAATGGAAATTTCCGGAAATTGGGTCTTCTGAACTTGGTGGTCATTGGGAGCACAAAGAGTACAAGGAAACTAGTTGCAGATGCTCATAAAACTATTAATAATTTGTCTCATCGTTATCAATTCGGATAACTAAAGCAGGATGTTTCAAACAGATCAAAACATATTATCAAAATATGATATTATCACAAATACCAATCGATCTGCACCAGCTTAGAAATGTAGTTTTAGAATTTGCTATAAGACTGATAAGGGATAAACTTTTCAGTTTGATCTGATAAAAGAGTCTGAAGGAGATCTGGATTATTTTAATGACATGGTTAGAAAATCCCCAGAGGTCTACAGGATCTAGAACTGTGTCCAAAATTTTACTGGAGGAGTACTGTAGAAAAAAAACTGAAAATTATGAACACGTATGAGCAGTCAACTTTAATCTCAAATAGCTCGGTTCCTGAAAAAGATATCAAAATGTGATCAAGTGACAAAATGTTCATCATAATATCAAAAGTATTTTGTCAGTTGAGCCCTTTTTTGATATATTTCACAGGAACCGAGATAAATTGGTTCAAAGTGAAAAGTTAGGGGGCAGTTCTATTTCAGGTTTTGCGTATTTTTTAGCTCGAGGTATGAGCGTTATCAGACAAATTGCTAACCATCAACTTTGACGATATTATCTCAATTAGTGTGAAAGATACCAAAAAAAGTCAACTGATAAAATATATTTTATATTATGATAAGCATTTTGTCATATGACCACTTTTTGATATCGTTCACAAGAATTAAGAAAAATTGCTTCAAAGTCGAGCATCAATGCGACCTCATTTTTAAGAAGCGAAAAAAAAACTAGTTACGATGCTAAATTATGCAAAAAATGTAATACTTTTTGGACGAATCTTTCGCCTTTGGGACTAATAAAAATTCATAAACCCGAACTTTCTCTCAAAATCTAAACACCGTTAGATCCGTAATAGAAGGCATCCTAACTTTTGATTTTTAACCAATCTCGGTTCCTGTTAAAAATTTAAAATTTTCGTTAACTAATAAAGTGTTGGTAATTACGAAAAACAGTTTAGCAGTTGACAAATTTTGTATACTATTGACAAAAACCGAAAGACATTGGCTCAAATTTAAAAGTTAGAGGCCCCTACTATTACAGGTATTACGGCAGTTATATTTTCTACTACATATCAGTTCTCTTGAATCATAAAACAAACAAGTTTTACCTGTGCTACTGTTCTATAAACTATGCCTCTTAGGTTTATTTGTTCCTCTCTAATCCCAATAATCAACATTCCTGTCTCCTTACCTGTCCATCAACCGAAAGATACGAGTAGAACTTTCCATCCTGCTGAAAATCGCTCAACATATCTTTCAACTTCCGCCGTGAGTCTGCAAATTGGATTTGCGTTTGTGTGAGGTTTTTCGGCTCTTTTCAGATTCCTTTTCCTTTTTGATATTTTCAAAAGATTCAGGTGTTCACCTTTTCCAGGAACTTACATGCTGCATATTCGCTGAGCCTCGAGAACTGCTCAGGTGATAATAGCATTTTTCTCTGTAAAAAATGAAAATATATTGGTTTATGGATATATGGAAGAAAAAAGGAATTAATATGCGGATGATGAGGTGTGAAAAAGAAAAAAAAAGAAAAGAAAAAAGAAGAAGAGAAGCTGAGGAGCAAATCCTCTTTTTTCTCTCCTGATATTATGTATATTAACACATTTATAAATACACTTTTAATACGTTTGACAAGATTGGCCTCTCCTTTTCTCTATCTCATGTCAAAAGCTCTTCTTCTTGTTCTTTTTCAAAGCCCCTCCTTCTTCAAAAGAGGACGGAGCCTAGGGAAGGGGAGAAGCTGTGGAGCACCTCGCCTAATCCCGCTCGCCCCGGTTTTTCAGAGAGAAAGAGTCACGCGAACGAATCAATCGACACCTCTGTCGCTTTGCAAGAAATAAAAATGGAATAAAAAGAAAATAAATGGGAGGAAAAACGGAAAAATGAGACGAGACAGGCAAAGTTCTGTTTGATGACGTAAGAAGAGATAATATCCGATTTTTCTGGACTAAACGGATTGAGAATAGGGCAATTAGGATATTAGGATTAGTGAGACTAACAATTTTCAGATTCTTAAAGTGCTTTTCGTTTAGAGAAAAAGATACAGTAGCAAGAAAAGTACGACAGCAAAAAATTTGAAGGTCCCCCACAATGTCAAGTTTGAGCTTAATTATCTCTGTTCCAATGAAAGATATCAAAAATGTGACAACTGACAAAACTCTTATGATACTATGATAAACATTTTATCCGTTGAGAACTTTTCAGGTCTCTCAGGGGAATTTAGGAAAATTGGCTCAAAGGTTGGGGGCTTCTATTACAGGTTTTACATTTACAGTACAACATGGCAATTCTAAATATATTTTTAAAAATCATACTGGTCTGAAAATTTCTGAAAATAATAAAAATCTGTAGAGCTACGTTGTTGTACTTTTTTAAACTTCACAGCTAACAACATTAACCTACTTTCTGGGATTCAAAAAATAGAAATTTCAAGCTGAATATTTTTAAATGTGGCTTTTTTCCGTTACTGTACGAACGAACTGGAAAAAGATGGAAATCGCTTTCAAAAGCTCTTAAGACAAATCAATCGAGATGAACATGCATATTAATCTTCCAAAGAATTGAAGACGTCATCACCAAATGGATTTAGGCTTAGGGAAAAAGAAATGAGAAGAGCTGAAAATCAAAAGAAACGAAAAAATGTGAAGAAGAAGACTAAGAAGCCGTTGAAGTGCAGTGAGACGAAAACACTGATAAACTTCAGTGAGCTAGCACTGTGATTTGTGGTGATAAAAAGGGGATTTCGATAATGATGGGAGATGGGTGGATGGATAAAGGGTGGATGCGCATGAATATGAAGACGTTATTGAGCTGGAAAAAGGATTAGATGGAAGATGCGATGTAGAACATCTGGGAATTATTCTAATAATTCATGGAAAACGTTTGAACGGTTGATATTTGAGTGTACCCCAAAAAACCAACAGACAATCCTACTAAATAACACCAAGTTGGAATAATAGGATTATCCGGAAGAACTTGGCGATTAATTGTTCCTGAATATTCTTCCTGGGATCGGATGTTTCTACTGAAACTGAGATTAGGCTTTCTTATTTTTGTCATCAACAAAATACAAGACATCTATAATAAAAATGGACAAGACTAATCCAGGGAAAAAAAAGGTTGTAGATCTGGCACTTAAATTTTGTGAAAAGAACACGAAAATCAAAACGATTGCCAAAAATTGTAATTTTTTCGAGAAGTGTTCTCAAAGTTCGGGGAATGTTTGGAATGAACAATACGGACCGAATCGGGCAGAAATAAAAAACATAAATTCTAAATTTTTTGAATTTTCCTGAAACCCCAAATTTTAACGATATTGGAAATTTAATTTTCGGAGGCTCTAAAATTCTAAACTTCAAATTCTGAACGGTTCTAAATATTTGAATTTCCGAACTTCCGAGTTTCTGTTTTCTGAATTTCCGAATTTCCAATTTTCCGATTTTCGAATTTTTTTGAAATCTTCATAGCTTTTCTAAAACTCCAACTTTTCGGAATATTTGAAATTTCTGAAGTTTTGAATTTTTAGATTTTTTTCAATGTTACTTAAAAGAAAATCTGGAAATTCTTGGTTATTCTAGACAATTCAATTTTTCAAATTTTTTATTGGTTCAAAGTGGCAAGTTTCCGATTATCAAAATGTTTTGTTTTTACTTTTTAAGTTTTGGAATTCCGCAGTTTTTGATTCTTGGTGTTTCGAACTTCCGAGTATAGGAAAATCTGGGAATTCAAAACTCAGTACCTTTTTTATATCTTCGAGGGACCGAAATAAATTCGCTCAAAGTCAATATTCATGGGGCCCTTCTATTACAGGTTTTACGGCATTTTTGATACTTTCAGTTTTTAACACATTTACTTTCTCTCCTCATTCCAAACACAATTCATTTCCCTCCCTCTCTCTCTTTCATCCAGTCCTCATTCCCGTTAATAATCTGGGTCAGCTATGCGTATGTCCTTCCCAATTACCTGTCCCGCCCGTCTTCCGTGGCTACTAATTGCTCAGAACCGTATACTTCGAGAATACAAGAAACCGTCATCAAATATGAAGTCTCTCAACTTTCAATCGGTTGTTTCACAGTTTTTCGAGGTAATGTCATGTTTGAAAATTTACTATGTTGAATAATCGACTTTTTTAGTACGAGAGTACGGTAGTCGTCCGATGGCCACTTCCATTCATCATCATCCCACCACTTTTGACGGTTTCTATTGGTTTGTGTTTTCTATTTTTTGACTACTAATCTTGGTTCTAGGTATTCCAAATACAAAAAAAATTGATTTGAAATTCTTTTTCAGTCACTCTAACGGTTACAAATTTTCATTTGAATGTGACAAACGATACTCTTCAAGTGTTCCTTCCGGATGATATGAGAAGTTTGAGGGATTTGAAAGAATTGATTCATTTATTTCCACCAAGAGATACACAAAGAGACACTTATAGTATTTTTGGGACCAAGTTTGTGTATACTGTAATTGAAGATGAGCAACCTGAAGGCAACATTTTATCGTCTTCGGGGATTCAGAGAATGGCACGATTGCATAAGTTTGTGATGGGTTTGGAGGTGAGAATCAATGAATTCTGGAATCTATGGGGAGTCTATAAATCGCACCAAAATGAACGACTTTAGGGAATTCGTAATTTTAGTTTCGAGGTTTTAGAAAATTTAGCAAAAAACAAGTTTTTCACAACTTTGGAATATTTTTTTTGGAATATAAGATTCTCAAAATTTCCAGACCCGTCAAGGAGACAACGTCGCCACCAACTGCCTCCGAAACCGAGACGACGAAGCGTGCACAATGCACCCCATCGCATTTGCTTTAGAAGACAGTACCCCAGAATTCGCCATTCAATTTCTTCTCCGTTATCCAAACCTTAAATTTGGAGACTTTGTAGTAGACAACGCCATGGTTTTTGGTGGCGTGGAAGTTGTGCCAAAAGTAAGTTTCAGAGATTCTTCTGGAAGTTATTGCGATTTTAGTCCCAAGACATTGAAGGAAACTCTCCAATAAGGTCATCTAAAGCGGTTCGAATGACTTACATTCTGGAGGCAAGCGAGTCTACGGAACGGTATTCGGAAAATTTGAAGCTTGGTACTGTTTAAGATTTTCAATTTCCAGATGGATAGACTTGTTTCTCACTACTATCCCTCGATACAAAGAATCCAATTCCACCGTTTTATGGTCCTCCTCAAAAAGTTTAGCGAAAGAGATGGAGAGAAATGGGGAATTGCTGATACCATGGATGCCATGGACCTCTCTAGTACTTGTGGTGTTTTGTATGTTTGCCTGTTCTTCATTCCATGTAGTCAAGTCTCAACCATTCATTGGATTTTTCGCAATGTTCAATGCAACCATGGCCACCATTGCATCGACTTCTCTCCTGATTTATATACAGTATCCATTTCTTCCTCTGGTTTTCATTATGCCATTTCTGGTTGTTTGTAAGCATTTTTTGGATTCTTCTATCCAATTCTCAAGTTCTATTCCAGCAATCGGTACTGACAATATGTTTCTAATGCTAAAAAGTTGGCGAATGACAAAGAAATCAGCAAACGAGGAAAGACGGTACATTTGCGCTCTAACGGAGTCTGCAGCTTCTTTATTCTTAACTTCTCTGACTGATGGCTTATCATTTGCCATCGGAAGTATTTCAGATTTTCATGCAGTTCGTGAGTTCTTTTCCTAAAACTTTCGAACGAGACTTCAAAATGTTTTGTCAAGTCACGGACTCAGGATTTGTGTGTGGAAAAGAGTCGCCTAACTTTCTCAAAACGATTTTTCTATGCCTATTCTTCGGTCCAGAAGTCGTGTAACATGCATCTGATGTTTTTTGTAGATCATTTAATATGCTGGCCTAACTTTTGCAATTTGATTTTTCTAGGCCACCAACTTTTATGGCCTAGAAATGAACTGATATTCACCTGGTACGTTTCCCACGGCACTCGACATGTCGGCCTAACTTATTGATTTATCTAGACCACTAACAAGGATAACGTAAAGAAAGTGTTCTGGAAAACACACCGGTGAGTATCAGGCCGGTACTAGGCTATTTACCATGGCGGCCTGAAAAACTCAAGTTGCAAAAAGTTAGGCCATCATAATAAAATGACCTAGAACGCGCCGTGCCCAGTTTAGTGGTTCGAACGTTCAAACGAAGTTTCGAAAAATAGTTCGAAAAAATTTTCTTGCTAAATATCGATTTAAAAAAAATTTCAGAATACGCCGTTTTTGAAAAACACACACTGGTGATTTCCAGGAGTATTCTGCACCTACTGTGCAATGGCAATTCTCTTCATGTTCCTTTTTCAAGTCACATTTTTCAACGCAGTCATGTCGTTATGTTGTCGGAGAGAAGTTGCAGGGAAGCATCCAGTGTTTTGTTGTTATGATACTGTACCATCGAGTGAGTGTCCGAAATTGTTATTTTTTAATTACAGAAGTTTTTAACTTTCAGACGAAACAAAAATCCTCAAACCTAACTCGGATACCCACTCCGATATCGCTTCTATTGTTGCCAAATACCTCTATCGAATCTTGAATCCTTGGCCTTCTCGAATCGTCGTCTTCTGTGTTTTTCTACTCTATCTTTTCACTTCAATTCATTATGCAATTGGCCTACCTCTAGGATTGGATCTGAAGCTTTTGGCTCCAGATGACTCGTATGTTTCCAGAGAGCTCGAAGCTCAAGAGAAATTATTTGCGGACTACGGTGGATTTTGTTTTGCATTGGTTCGATCAGAGAACATTTCGTTTCGAGACCCAATGATCCGAAGGGATTTGATAAAATTGTATCATGATTTGGGAGGGTAAATTCTAGGATAAAAGTTTCAGTAACATAAAATGAAAATTTTCAGAAGTGAGTACGCATCTCCCGCAGAGTTCTGGCTGGAACCATTTGAGAAGAAACATCGGGGACGGAAATATTCGGAATCCAATTTCTCTGATGAACTGCACACTTTTCTAGCTAAAGAGCCGAATTTGAAGTTTCGAAACGATATTCGGTTTACTATGACTGGAAGGATTGAGGCAATAAAAATGATGTTTCGAGTGAGAAAACTGGGAAAAGATAACGATTCACCGAGAGCCGAATATATGAGGAGGATAATGGAAACGAGTCAATTCAGTGGTTTTGTTTATGATACCAGTTTTCTGTTAGTGGATCAGCAAATGACAACGGTTTACAATGTGATTATTGATGTGGTTTCTGCAATTCTCACAATGCTTTCGATTTGTGTTTTAATGGTGAGATTTCGAATGAATACCGTGAAACCTGTAATAGAAAATCCCACTTCAAGCCAATTAATCTCGGTTCCTGTCGAGGATATGAACAAGCTGTTAAAAGATAAAACGTTAATGATAACATAACAAACATTTCATCAGTTGACACATTTTCGATATCTTGTATAGAGATGAAAGTAAAAAATGAGGGGTCCTTCTACTACAGGTTTTACGGTAGGTGTACTTTATTAAGTTATGGTTTTCGAAGCTTGAGATTTCCTAAATTTTTTATAATGATGGTATGAGAAACGAAATTCGGATTTTCGAAAAAAAATTGTCTCTGAAAATCTATGACTGTTCGATTTTGAAAAAATTAGAGTCCGCAAATTCAGAAGTTCCGGAAAAATCAAAAGTTTGCAAAAACTTTGACATTCGAAGAAAGTTTCTTATTTATTACCCGGGATTCTGAAAAAAAAAACCATTCCGCAAATTTATAATGTTTGAGAGAAAGGGATGGGAAATTTTTGATGAATTCGAGTGTGATTTTCGGATATACCATATTTTTCTATAATAAAAACCCACTCAAACCGTCATTTTTTAACATATATATCTCATTTACTGTAAAAGATGTCAAAAATCTTTCAACTGATAAAAAATGTTTCTGATATTATGATAAAACAACAAGCTGGTGCGCCTTAATCTGAAAATTTTTGAAAAATGCCTGATTGAAAAAGCAGATTTTTTTGTGTTAAATTCAGATAGTGAAACATACTTTCAGGTTCCTCGCCCCGTCTCAGCGATGTGTATTGCCTTTGCGATCCTGTCCGTGAATATCGGAGTAATCGGTGCCCTGGCAGCCACCAACACCCGCCTTGATATCATTTCTATGATAACAATAGTGATGAGCGTTGGATTTTCAGTTGACTATGTGACCCATACCACATTCCATTTTGTTATTCAAAGAGACAATCGGCTAGAGGTTGTTTGTTATCTTTATCATTCATTAAAAAAATTAATTAATTTTAAGAAATGCCTTCTTGTTATGACTGAACCCATTCTCCAATCCGCGTTATCTACTGCCATTGGAGTATCATTACTGTCATTTGTGCATTCTTACATCGTTCGAACTTTTGTGAATACCGTATTCTTTGTGGTTGGATTGGGAATTCTTCATGGATTGATATTTCTTCCGGTCCTTCTGGATACCATCGTCCCTCATTCTGAATATATGATTGCTTATGAACCACACCAGGAAGAAGAGGAAAACAATCATTATGAAGATCTTTATGGGTTATAATTTTTAGAAATGATAGTTCATGTGTGAATAAAGTTATGCTCTTCTTGCGAATTTCAATTTTTAAACTTTTGAAAGTTTCTAAATGCCAAGTTTTTAAATAATTACCACCTCCCTCGCCTTTTGTTACTTCCCAAAAAGTCCAAAGAAAAAACCAAAATTTTCTCACCAAGCTCTGGCTCGGTTACTATGGAAATTCTCCCATTTTTTCCCGGTCAGTGGGCGGCTCTTTTTCATTTTTTGGAGAGAAAAAAACAGGCGGAGAGGAAATCCAATCATAAGTTTTTGTTGTTGTCTCTCTTGTCTGCTCCCAGAAAAATAATAAGCCAACTATTCTTCACTTTGTATCTACTTGAATGAAATGGTCACTTTTTATTGGGTTTTTTTTGCTTTCACAGTTATACAATGTGTTTGGGGATGGTAAGTCGATGAGAGAGCAAAGGGTACAGTAATCAGGATTACTGTAGATTGTTACTGTCCATTATGTGAGCTGGATAAGCTTCCCGATAATTGTACAACGATTTATGGGCATATACAAATGGGATTGGAATCTACAATGCCACCATATGAGGTTATTTTTGAAATGTTCTGAATGACTGAAACTCTGAAATTCTGAAATTCTGAAATTCTGAAATTCTGAAATTCTGAAATTCTGAAATTCTGAAATTCTGAAATTCTGAAATTCTGAAATTCTGAAATTCTGAAATTCTGAAATTCTGAAATTCTGAAATTCTGAAATTCTGAAATTCTTAAATTCTGAAATTCTGAAATTCTGAAATTCTGAAATTCTGAAATTCTGAAAATTCTGAAATTCTGAAATTCTGAAATTCTGAAATTCTGAAATTCTGAAATTCTGAAATTCTGAAATTCTGAAATTCTGAAATTCTGAAATTCTGAAATGCTGAAATTCTGAAATTTTGAAATTCCGAAATTCTGAAATTCTGAAAATCTGAAATTCTGAAATTCTGAAATTCTGAAATTCTGAAATTCTGAAATTCTGAAATTCTGAAATTCTGAAATTCTGAAATTCTTAAATTCTGAAATTCTGAAATTCTGAAATTCTGAAATTCTGAAATTCTGAAATTCTGAAATTCTGAAATTCTGAAATTCTGAAATTCTGAAATTCTGAAATTCTGAAATTCTGAAATTCTGAAATTCTGAAATTTTGAGGATATGAAATTTGGGAATTATGAAATTCTGAATTCCCGAATTTTTGAATTTTCTGAAGTTGCGAAGTTCTGAAATTCTGAAATGTTGAATTTCAAACTCTAAAATTCCGAAATTCCAAAATAAAAGCTTCTTTTAATTCCAAAAATGTTTTTTAGATCATTGAATACAAACTACAAAATGTAACAACAATAGTTGGTTGCATAACAATCGCCAATTCCGGATTCACATCTCTTGCCCTTTTATCAAATTTGGAAACGCTACAGTACTCTCAAACTGGAAATTCATCCAGTTGTTCATGTAAAAATCTCCTAAAATCCGATTCTCTAAACTCCATGTTTCATATTTTCAGCCTATGGAAATATAATAACAATTGCAAAAAATAGTCTGCTGCGTAGGTTGTACTTCACAAGTTTGAAGAAGGTGAGCAAATAAAGTCTAAAGAAAAAAAGAAATCCGATATTTTCCAGGTTATTGTAACCAAAAAGTCAGAGTATGGCATTTATTTGGTTGATAATCCGTCATTATGTATAACAGAAGAAGAATTGGAACACTTTTTGAAAACTGAAAAGTTCTATGCTCCTCATATTCAAATTTGTGATCCGACGAGTGGGTCTTGGAGTCTCAACTACAGTAACCCAAAAAATTACAGAATCTATTGTAGACTCGACAGCTTTGATTTCTTCGACCAAACAAACATTGTATCTGGATGCCAAGTTTTGACAGATTCCTTAGTTTTAAATGGCACAAAAGAATACAATCAGACAGAATTTCATGACAGGTTGGAAAATTATTTGAGGATCTCAAATACCGTAAGAATTTTCAGATTGAATGATATCGAACAAATTTTGGGATCCATTATTGTTTTTCAATCGGATATTGTCGCTTTGAAATTCCCGAATCTTTGGAGGATTTATAATTTTCAGCGTGAGTGATTTCAGATTCTGTGCTCGATATTCTCCCGATATATTTTTTAAGTCATTTTAAGATCGTATCCTAATTTCGCGAGTTGAGTTTTCTAGGCCATCGTAGCTGATGGTCCAGAAGTGATCTAACATGCACCTGATGTGTTTTCTAGGTCATTTTAACATGGTGGCCAAACTTTCTCAACTGTGGCTTTTCTAGGCCACCGTAGTTTATGGTCCAGAAATGGTCCAACACGGTGTGTTCTCCAGTTCATTTTTAAAAGGTGACCTAACTTTCGCAAGCGGAGTTTTTTAGGCCACTATGGTGAATGGCCTAGAAATGGTTTGATGCTTGCCTGGTGGGTTTTCTAATCCATTTTAACATGGTGGCCTAACTATTGCAAATTGAGTTTTCTAGGCTACCATGATGAATGGCCTAGAAATGGCTTGAAAGTTAACTTGCAAAGTTTTTCTAGGTCGTTTAACATGGTGGCCTAACTTTTGCAAGTCCACCAACCGTTATGGAAAACACACACTGGTTTCAAACTAGAGACACAAATCACACATCCATCAATCTCAAAAATTCCAGAAAATTCATTTTCTCTCTGAATTTTGTTTTTTTTTTTCAGCAACTCTTCCGGTCATCTTCCTCCAGGATAATCCAAATTTGGCGGAAATCGAATTTTCAAATCTTTCCTCTATTCCATATTTTGGCAAATATCCAGATGTTCTTTATACGTTTTCCAATCCATTACTCACTCAATTACCTCTAGACACCTGCGAAAATCTATACAAACTTGGTCAAATTACAATTGGAGACGTGTCGGAATCTATTTGTGGTGAGGGTTTCTAGAGTTTTTAGTTTTCACCTGCGTCTTGTTTTTTTCAGGAATCGCACGAGTTCAGCTCTCCCAACCCAAGAGGCCAACCATACTACGGCAACGACTTCTGAATTTTCAGTGGATTCTGGGAAGGGTGGAAGTAATGTAACTAATTCAACCGCATTAAGTTCTGTTGGAAAAGTTAGTTTCATTTATAAGGAAATTAAATCGAGACATTCTTGATATATGTCAGAATATTTGATTATGAGAAAATTATAATTAATTTTATACATTTTTCAGAACCAACCACCTAATAACAATACGAAGGACAACTTGGACTTTCGGATTCTTGACTTGACATATTTTTTGGGATTGATATTTATTTGGGTTCTGCGATTTGAAATTTGAGAATAATGAAGCTGGTAGTTCAAGATTTGAATAATCGAAAATTGACAGACACACAGACATACAATTTTTTTGAAATTTTAAAAATACAGAAAAATTGATATCCAGAGAAAAGTTATTATGAAGAAGATCGGAACTTGAAATATCTGTAAAAACTGACAGAATCTCCGGATTTCAAAATTTCATTATTGCAGAATTTCAGAATTTTAGAATTGCGGAATTTCAGAAATTTCACAATTTAAAATTATCTGAATTTCAGAGTTTCAGAATTTCAGAACTTCAAAATTTCGGAACTTCGGAATTTCGGAACTTCGGAATTTTATAATTTCGAAACTGCAGAATTCCAGAATTTCAGAATTTTTTTAAATTTCCAAATTTCCAAATATCAGAGTTTTGAATTTCAGAATTTCAGAACTGAAAAAAAAATCGGAAATTCAGAAATGGCCAAAGGTCTCAATTTTTTGTACCAGAATAACATTTAGAACAAGAACCACGAGAAGATACAAAAGTTCGTTGAAACTTTTCGAGTCAAATGCTGGGAATCTCAGAATATTTCGATTTTAAAGATTACTAAAAAATGACAAAAATGCAAAAATCATAAATTAAACTTAAGATACTCGCAGACATACAGAAATATCTCTATCTCTTTCGAATACTTGAAATCGGAACTTTTCTGATATCCGATTTCATGAGTTTCGGACACTCTTCACGCCCTGCCTCGTCTTTTCAGACTCTCCCTGCTCAAGACGAATCACACGTTTCCAAACCAATTGGCACTTTTTCCAACACTTCCCGGCCCCAAACCAGTTGGCATATCTTATCCTTCTCTAACCTTCTCCCACATTTTTTTCAAAATTTCCATCGGTTTCAAAACTGATGAGTAAATATACAAACAAAAGGAGAATAAAAACCGAACTATTCTTCGCAAATCCGAAAAGATCCATTTGCGCAGCAACCCCACGCAGTACTCTTTTCCTTTCAATTGATATCGTCGGCCAGTATATTTGCTGCTGCTGGGAGCCCGTCCCGTCTATCTCTTTCTCTGGGGGCGTCTTTTTCTTGTTTTCTCATCTTCCCAGATCTCTTTGTCTAACCACTCTGTCGTCTCTCATCTCTCGATTGGCTCCCGGGAGCACTCCGCACACTCATCGCCCCATCCCCATTCAACCAACTCTCTCCAAGTACACCCCACTTTATTATTTTATTATTTTTGATTCGTTTTCCTGAATCCTCAGATTTCAAAATATCAAGGAAATCTTTCAATTAAAGTTATCTCCTAATGAGCAATTCTCCACAAAATGAGGCAGAAGCTCGCGAAAAGGTAAGTGTCATTTTTGGAGAACCCCTGATTTCGTAATTTTGTTATTTAAAAGTTTCTAAATTCTTCAAAAAGTTAAAAAACCCAAGCTTGAAACTTTTCAGAACTGATCATTAGTTGAGAAAAAAGAAAAAACCTCAAATGCTCTGAAAGAAGCCCAGCCTATACGTTTAATTTGAGCTCATTTGTCTGTCTTCCTATGAAAGATATCAGGAATCTCTCAACTGATAAGAAACTGATGATATTATGACAAACAACAGTTGAAAACTTTTTATGTCTTCAAAAAGAACCGAAATAATTGAGCTGAAAGGGTACCTATAGGGTGGACATCTATTATAGCATTACGGCAAGTTATAAATCACGAAATAAATATAAAAATTAGGATTTTCAAACTGAAACTATACTGAAAATCATAAAACTACATTTTTCGATGTTTCCGAAAAATGTTGAACGTCCCAATTTTTTGAAAGCTCTTTTTCACATTGGACAATTTCAGTAAGAATTTTACGTTCCAGATGGTTCCAGAACCATTTTAGGCCCTTTTTCTGTTGTTTCCTGGAGAAATTTTCTAAATTTTCCTAAACTGATATGAAGTCTACAAAACACTTGAGCACTGATCCAGCTGAAATGGAAAAATTTTCCTGAATTCTTGGAATCTAAGGGTTTTTGAAAACTGAAAATTTTGACTTGGGTTTTTTAGAATTAATTTAGGAATTCGCTAATTTTCTGGCTACTAATTTTCTGGCATCAAAGAAAAATTCATTAATCCCTAAAACCTCTATTAAGAGGACCGGTCCGTCTATTTCTCCAAGCTCTTCTCGGAGGGCCCTTCTGATACAGGTTTTTAGCTAACTCAAAAAGTTCCAACGCGTCCATCTTCCCAAATTTCAATCCAATCTCATGATCTTCAGATGCGCGAGCTGATGTCACGTCCACCATCGAGTCGACCAGCAGATTTCGTGAACCCTCTCGAGAAGATCGAACAGTTGCTGACGTGTCCGATTTGTCTCGATCGCTACAAGTAAGTGTGTCCCTGTGATGATCTCACCAATCAGCTGGCCTGTTCGTTTTGACAAAGTTTTGTTAAGAGCTTGACGAAAAATAACACCCATCAGTACATTTTCAAGAGCATGTGACTTGAGTCTATCTCTTTCTGACCACTATCTTATGACCTCTTTCTAGTACCTCTCGGTGATTAGGACTCACTGAAAATCTAGACTTTGAAAAGAGGAAATGATGGGCTTATATGATAAACAACACTATATTATTTGCCTTTCTTTCTCCAAAGACAAAACAATAACAATAATTATTGCTTTTGGGTGCGGGGATTTTGAGTGATCAACAACACGATCTGATCACGATCTGGTATTGGTAGGAAGATTTTTTTTGTAGATTTAGTGGTAGGGAACCGGACATCAGAGTTTGAGTCAATAGATATCAAAAATCTAGAGGGGTATAAGATTTGAGAATAAAATTTTGCAAGAAGCATCATTGAAACAATGAGAAGATAGCGTCAACTTTGAGCTCAATTATCTCGGGTCCTATAAAAGATCTAAAAAAAATAAGATGTTTGTCATTATATCACCAATATTTCTTCAGTTGACAAATTTTTGATATCTCTTACATTAACCGAGATAATTGAGCTCAAAGTGCACGCATAGGGAGATGTCTCTATTAGAGCTACGGTAGCGGAGCTGGCAAATAAAAAACACGACTGTTTAGTCTAAAAAATTATAAAGTATAGTTTTGTGATTGCCAAAACATAGATACTTTAAAATTTTCATACTTCTTAGGTTTCTCTCTTACATTTGTTAGATTCTAAGATCTTAAAACTGCAGTTCAAATTAATTCTGCGATATTCAAACTTTCATATTCCGCAATGCTAGAAGTTTGACAATACAAGAAAATGACAAGTTCCAAAATTTTGGGCAAGGATTTTCAAAATCGCTAATTCTCAAAATCGCTTGTTTCAATTTCACAAGCTGAGCATGATAACCGTAATTTCAGGAAATTCAAACTACCGTAAACACTCTATAGAGTGTCCACCCAACCCGTTAACGTTGAGCCCATATATCTCGGTTTATATGACAGATATAAAAATTTTGTCAACTGATAATAGGTTTGTGATATTGTCCAGCGAGCGAACGGCTCTTTTCTCTCCTACTTTTCTTGATCTTTTTCTCTTTTTTACAACCGGAGAAATCCCCATCTTTCTCTCTCGCTCTCTACTGATTTTCAACTATCTTTCAATTCAACAAAAAGATGCAAAGTGTGTGTATTACACCTCGGGGAATAGAGGAAGAAGATGATATTGGGGATGCTCTTTGAAGATTCTTCGAGAGGAAAAGGGGAACTTTATGTCTGTCTGTGTGTCTGTAGATCCAATAAATTTTCAGACAACCAAAATTACTTCCTTGTCAACACACCTTTTGTTATCCATGTCTGGAATCATGTGCAGACACTTTGCACCGGAATCTAAAATGTCCAGAATGCCGAGCAGAGCACAATATTCCATATGACGGAGTAAAGGCTTTTCAGGTACCATTCTTCTGGTTCGATTAAAAAACAGCGTCTTATTTTCAGCCAAATTACACACTGACGGGATTTCTTGAGATTCACCTGCAAGCGACTCCAGAATCCGCTGCAGAAATCGAAGAATATATTCATCGGTACAATCTGGAACGATGTAAAATTTGCGATGAGAAAGCGGACTGTGAGCCGTGTGCCCATTGTGATCGAAAAGCGTGTAAAGAATGTAGACAGACTCATATGGACATGTTGAAAAGAGATATGTCAAGACTTTTGAATCAGGTGAAGCGGTTGGCAAATCGAATCACAGAAGCGTCGGATAATCTGTCAAAGGGGATGGATATGATGACTTTGAATTGTGAAACAACGAAAGCAGAAGTCAAAGAATATTTTCATAGGTGAGCAGCATTTTGAATTCAGAAAAAAATTAAATTTAAATTAGGGCTTGAAATAATTATTCCAATAATACCACTATTTTTACAGAGATTTATATCTCAAAAACCAAAAGAGCGTAAAATTTTACAGAATTTTGTAGTTGACACTGTTTTTATGACTATCACAGTTTTTCCGATATACTCCTTAAAAGAGGCTCGCAGGCTGTCCGCATCTTCTCAGACTTTAAAGGCGCATATCTGAAAATGTGCTTTTTAAGTTCGGTGTTTCTCGACAATGACGGTTTAAAATTTCAGGTATCAACGAGAGCTGAAAAAGAAAGAAGACAACTTCTTAATGGAAATCGACACTTTCCAAGCCACGGAATCTCGAACCATGAGCAATCTTCGTGATGTTCTAGAAATCGAAAGCTCCAATATGAGTGAAGCGGTTTCTAGACTTGATGCCGCTATAAAGGTGGGACTACCGTATTGGATTATTGTCATTGTGACATATTTCAGGGAGAATGTGCAATTGAGGATGCTGACTTGGTCCGAATGAAAAACACATTCACAGAAGGCCTGGAGTATCTCAGGAACTTCCAACCCGACGCTGACGAACTTTTCAATAGAAAACTAAGATTCTCAGCTGGAGACGACGCTGCAAAACTTCCAGCAGCTATCGCCACATCTGGGGAGCTTTGTGTTCTAGTTCCACAGTTCTCTGGAAGGTTCGTTTTAAATAAAAGTTGTCTTCAAAATAAAAGAATGTTTTCAGATACCTACCCCTCGAACAATCTTACCTCCCTCGACCATTCCGTTTACCATTGGAAAGTGATAGTTATCGTGTGAAAGCCGACGAGAGAGCTAGTATGCGGGAACGGGAAAACGATCGAACCTCATCTAGACACAGGTGTGTTCGAGTGTTTTTGGTACTAACATTTTTTTCGAGTTCAAATAGTTTAGTTTGTAGTTCATAGTACTAACCTTAATAAATGTGTTAAGGTCAAATCTTCGTCCGTTCAGGCATCCAATCGTGTTCATCCAGATTCTGTATAATTTTAGTTTTAGATAGACCGTGATACTAAAATTGTTATAACTATTGTCTAGTATGTTTCTGTATACATCTGTATAGAATTGAACCACAGAAAGGTTAGTGTATTGCCTCTATTAGAAGCCCACCCAAACCTTCATCTTTGAACTCGAATATAACGGTTCCTATGAGAGATATCAAAATTTTGTCAATTGATAAAATATTTGCGATGTTATGATAAACAATTTATCAGTTGAACGTTTTGTATTTTCGACAGGAACCGAGATAATTGAGCTCACAGTTGATGGCTTGGGTGGCCTTCTATTAGAGCAAATACGGCACATTCCGGACTCGAGAATGCTAACTATTGCCTCATTGGCTGTTACTATATTCAGTTTGTATACGTAAAAATCAATTATGTTCATCTATGCTCTCAACTCTTACCTATTTAGTTACTCTGTAGTCTCCTCCCTCTCATCCTCTATCTTTTTCAGTCATCGAAATCTTCCCGAACCAGACGAGAGCTCGATCCGTTACCGACGCCGTCAGCAACTAGAAGAGGAAGCTTGGAATCGACTTCGTAACTCCTCAGCTACCCCATCTCTCCTATCAACTTCAACGATCGTTGACTCCAATTCATCCTCTCGAAC